ACTTCGCTAATTAATAAAAACTTGTCTATAGAATGATGAGAGGTGGGCTGTGGTGGGCGTCAGCACGTTTCAGATGGTGGTCTCATGATGATCGTTCCGATGACAAATCGAAGATAATGTTAAAGGTAAATTTGTTTTTGTCTCATTGTACCTTTGAAAGTACTCGAATTTGAACAAAGATTGAGTGTTATCTCAAAAAGATAAGTTGCCTATTTTTTCCAATTGCTTGTTTTTTATTTTAGTGAATTTTTTTTCAATTTTTCAGTATCCGGTCAAATTCATTCCATCGATGCGTGTCAGATGATGGTCGGTGCAATGGAGGTTCGTCGGTATGAAGTTTCTGGAGAGTGCGTGCCCGCACATTTACATACACACACATCAATACAACACATACATACACAACATCCATTCACTCGGTGTCGTTGTTGCTATGTTTCTCTTCAACTTTATATTTTCTTTACCGTGAACCGGACTTTAATTTAATTCATAGGTAAGTTAGGGACTGAGATGAGTTAAACAATTGTAGGTAGGCTGGGGCTTAACATTAGTTAAAAAGCTTCAAGTAAAATAAAAACGCTAAAATATGTTAAATAAAATACTTGAAACATCTAAAACGAGAAATACAAATTTGTAGGTAAGTGAGTTGAGTCAATGTTTATAAGTAAGCTAGGGCCCTGAGAGTAATTTTATTATAGGTAGGTGACTGGCTATTATTCTTGCGACTTCTTACTAGTTTTGTGTGATGTGTTTGTTTTCGCTTCACAACACCACACCAACAAAACAAACTACATTTCATTCTCGTCGTCGCCTTAAATTGTACCTTTTTGAACAATCTTTTTAATAATGTCTATTTATTTATTCATTAAATGTTGACTGGTTTCTAGTTTTTTTTTTTAAATTGGTTATATAATTTTTGGATATTTCTTGATTTACTTTGTATATATGCATGTATAAATTCTTTCTGTTTAGTATGTTGATTTAGTCATTATGATATGTTGTGAACTGATATTACTAAATGTTCATGTTACGTGGTTTATTATCCTTCGAGAACTTCTAAGGAGTGTGTATGATAATAATAATAATGGATAATAATTATTTTTATTGTTCGATATTTTGTTATATTTGTTTATTTAAAATACGAATTTTTAAAAAAAATTGACATTTTAAAATTTTAATTAACCGTCACTTTTCATTTTTGAATGAATTCAAATAAAAGCAACTACTGTGTTTTTCTTTCTTTACTAAAATCTCGAAATTGTTTGTAGATCTATACGGTTAACTGTTTGTTCGAGTTTGAACAGGCCTTGCAAATTTTTTTTATTAATTTTTGTTTTTATTTTTGTTTATTTAGTTCATTCAATTTAGTTGATTGATTGATCGGTTGATTGATCGGTTGGTTGATTGATTGACTGACAGACTGACTGACTGACTGACTGACTGGCTGGCTGGCTGGCTGGCTGACTGACTGACTGACTGACCGACCGACTGACTGATTGTTTGATTGATTTATCTCATAGTATTGTATGCATGAGAAAAAATCCGATTAAGCCAACCTACGGCTTCAGTAAGCCACTGTTTTTCACCTGACAAAAGCAATTTCTATATTTATACTGACAAAAATAATTGTGATATGAATATATTGATTTATTTAAAGCATTATATGTACAAAAAAGTGCTATCGTAAGAGTTCTATGAAACCCTGTAAGCCACTGCTGTAAGCCAACGTATGATTTCAGCAGCCAGTTTCTTATGAGCACCAGCAGAGTGTAAAATATTCATTAAATATAATGAAGATAGTTGTTCAAATAACAATTTTGATTTATTTAGGCCGTTTATTTCATAAGCAAACCAGTTTTTTACATGATCGAATAGTGTGAAAAAAAAGGGTGACTATAGTTCAATCCTACTAAGCCAACCTTCGGCTTCAGTAAGCTACCGGATTTCACCGGACCAAAAGCAATTTTTATATTCAAATTAACAAAAATAATTTAATAATACATAATTCTATTAATCATTATTAAAATTAAATAGAATTACTACAATGTTTTAAGCATATTAAATCAAGTAAATATTTCATTTAGCTTGCTCGTTAAAATCCATGCAATTTCGTAAGCCAACGATCCAAGCACGACGAATTGATCGATTAGTCTTGTTATTCTAGTTATGTGGTTTGGAGCAAGTGGAGACATTACTGAAAATAATTAAAAGTTGAAAAAATTGAGGTTCTTTGCATATCCCTGCTTCAACCCATAAGAAGGTGTTGTATGCTGGTAAATAGGCCTCCCTTGCTTAGAATAGATATAAATAAAGATATTTCATACAAAATTTGTATGAAATACAATACAAAATCAATCCCAATACAAAAATATTACAATATCTTCATGTATTGTATAACTCTGTAATTAATCTACCTATCGATAAATACAACGCATAAATCACTGAAATCCTTGCTACCCATCAGAGTATTCGACCCAAATTTCAATAAAAACTTGTGATAAAATAAAACTATCTAGAAGAAACTTTCACAAAATGTAATCAATAATAACTCAGTCTTAAACATTCATTTTATTTTGCTCATGATGCTTCGATGGGCTTTTGAAAACATCTCGGATGACACCTGTAACATCTTTCAAATCAGTCGGTAACAAGTTCCAAACAGACCTTGGCAGACAAAACCAAAAACCTCTAGAACCCAAAATGAGGTCACCGCGCTTTGTTGACCTCAACCGAACTCGATCGGGCACATCAGGCACTGACTCTATCCTATCTTTTAAATATGCAAGTGTGTTTTTAAGTGTACGTGTTTGTGTGTTGTGTGAGTGTGTTGTGTATGTGCGTGTTAATTATTTTAAATAGTTTCTTAACGAAATGACGATTTACCTAACACCGTTACATTTTACGATGGCATCATTACTCTAAACTTAGCTCATATGATATAATATAATACAACACAAATACGCGCGTACATATTACATTCATAATGACTAATTTATATGTTTTGCTGGTGAAACATCATATTCATAGCTAGTGTAACATGTTAGAATAGGTGTTCTCTACATTATATGTATATATATATATATATATATATGTATATATATATATATAATTGTTATTTATAAGTGGTATAGTTCTAACCTTTCTGTAAAAAAGGAAGTTAATTTTAAAGAAACACACACACACACACACACACACATATAGACAATCAAAGTAGTTACCACAAACACACACACACACTCACACACACGCATGCTATATGAAGTCTTTTGAAGAAAAATTATTTCCTCTGATGTTGTACCAGATTATTATTAATTAACTTGTGACTAGCTGGTAGGAGAATTTATGTGAGATAATTCATTAATTCATTAACTAATCAGTTAGTTGATTAATTTGACAATTAATTGAATTGTTTGTTAATTAATTAACAATTCGTGGTAAGTAAGCGGTTCTAGCAATTTCATTTAAATTTTTTTTAATATATGTGCTTTCAGATAATGAAAATGGATGCAGGCGATTTGAGACAAAACCTTATTCGGAAAAAGAAAAATCGGACCAACGACAAAGGTAACAACGACCTACAAATAAATAGTGTGGACGATAATAACGGAGAATACATAAACAAAGATATTTTAACAAAAAGTAGAAGGCATGGAAACAAAAATGACATCACCAACAACAGCAACATCAACAAAAATATCAACTCAGCTTCCAATGTATTTTCCCTAAAAGCACCAAAGGCAGCCCCACGTTTTAAACTTCCATTAAGAAAAATCATAAGTGATTCTGAACATGAGATAGATTACAACAACTACAACAACGACAACAACAACAACGACGACAACAACGACGACGACATCACCAACAACGACGTAATCAACAGCAGCATCAGCGTCGAGTATTTTAACAACAACAATTACTACAGCTGTAATGATGATAGCAAGCATCATGATGATGATCATGATGATGACGACGACGACGACGATGATGATGATGGCGGTAAATTTTGTGCTGGTAACAACGATAATGATGGTAAGGTTTTGGTTGGTAGTGATAATGATAATGATGATGTTGATGATGACGTCAAATGCGTTTGCGACTGTTTCAAAGGCGGTCAAATAAACTGGAAAAATGCTGGTGATGATGATGATGATGACCCAACAGCAAATAATAATAATAATCAGCAACCAAGTGATCACGACACGAATGGCAACAACAACAACAACAACAACAATGAAATCAAACAACCTTCTGATAACGATGACGACATGGATGGTGACGACGACGACGACGATGATAATGGTGATGATCCTTATCGAAATTCCACTAAAACGTCAGTTAACATTAGCTCAGATGATAATGAACCTGGCAAGCAGGTAAGCACGACTGCATGTGATTCAACTGCTGCTAATGAAATTAACGCTGTAGTTAAAGGTAATAATGAAGTCTATTCTATTATAAGTTATTTATTTGAGCAAGCATCCATCACAACTGCAGCTACCACTTCTACTACTACTACCACTGCTACTACTACTGCTGCTGCTGATGCTGCTGCTACTACTCCTACTACCACTACTACTACAGCGACAACAGAAGCAACAACAGTGACGTCATCAACGGATAAAAACGAAAAGGCGACAACAAATAAACTCGTGACAGCAGCAAAACCAGCCGCAACAACGAAACCTACTCCACCAACGAAAATAAAAACACCACCAACACCATCGGCGAAACCACGATTACCATCTACTAAACTGTCAGCTGCAACAAAAAAGTTGCCGAAAATATCAGCAAAACCGTCAACAGCGACAAAAACAACAACAATAGCAACAACAAAAACGGCAACAACAAAAACGGCAACAACAACAACCGCAACAACAACAACAACGGCAACAACAACCGCAACAACAAAGAAAATGTTTCATTTAGAATCAACGACACTGACCACAATAGAAGCGGCGTCACACGCGACAAAGTCTCTACCAGTAGCTCCACCACTACCAAAGAAACCAACAACACCGCAAACAACGACAAAGTTACTAGCAGAACTAACATTAAGAATGCAGTCATCATCAACATCAACAACAACAACAACAACGGTACAAACGCAAAAGACATTACCAAAGATCATAAAACAACTTCCCGCTACTATTCCATTACTGTCTTCTTTCCAACAAACAATAACAATTGCATCAGCAGCAGCAGCTGCTGCAACAACAACTACTACATCAGCAATGACGTCATCATCTACAACAACAACAGCATTAATTCTTCCGGCATTACCGCCATCATATTTAAAACCATCAACAACAACAACAACAATAACATCTGCGACTTTAACCAGAAAAGATTTGAAACAACCACAAAAAATTGCACTAATTACAACAAATACAAATGATATGGTAACAACAACAACAACTACTACTACGTCAACAACAACAATTACATCAACAACAACATCATCAACAACCACAATGACGTCAACAACAAAAAAAATTCTACCACCTGTTCCGCCACCACATTTGAAACCATCTCTAAAAACAACAACAACAATGACTCTCACAGCAACTGCAACAACACTGTCAACTACAACAACAACATTAACAACAACAATTTATCAAACCGAAAATAAAATATGGGATGGAAATATACTGCCATCAACGACAACAGAAGAAACTAATTTTATGACAACATCACCATCAACAACAACAGTAACAATATTAAAGATCCTAAAACAACCTCCCGCTGCTCCATCATCGTCTTCTTTCCAACCAACAACAACAACATTAGCAACAATATCATCATCAACAACAACAACAACATCAACAACAACAACAAAATGTATACCACCAACTCCACCACCATCATATTTAAAACATTTTATAACAAGAACATTAACAACATCTGAATCAGCCACAACAGCAACGACGACGACAGAGAAGCTACCATTACAGCCACCACTACCACCACCACCAAAAACAGCAACAGCACCACCACCACCACCAACAACAACAACAACAACCACAAGTCCTGAGATCAAAGAGCGCAACTTCTTGAAACATCAATTGAAATACATAGCGATGCAGATAATAAACTCTAACGGAACTTTAACAAAAAAAACATTAACAACGGCAACAACAACGACATCATCAACAACATCAACAACAACAACATCATCATCAACAACAACAACAACATCAACAACATCAACAACAACATCAACAACAACATCAACAACAACAACAAAACAAATTCCACCAAACCCTCCACCGATACATTTAAAACCATCTCTGATGGCATCAACAACAACAACAACATCCACAACAACAACTACAGTTTACGATAGAGAAAAAGCAAATTTAAACCCTCATCATAAGCTGCTATTACTACCTACAACAGCCGCATCGTCATCATTATCATCAGCAGCAGCTGCAACATCATTATCAGCAGAGGCTACGTCATCATTACCGTGGACGTCATCAAATATTTATGATCTTTCGATGAATTATAACAACTCATATGACGACATAACGGAAGAAGAGTTAGAGTTATATGAAAATATGGAGGGAGCCATTTATGAAGATTTAATAATAACAACACCAACATCACCACCACCAACAACAACAAAACCAAAGAACAATAATATTATGGAAGGATATCTGGACTGTTCTCGAATCGATGTTTCTGACAAAGTAGTTGGGTTCGTGTGTTAAGTTGTTGTTGTTGTTGTTTTTCTTCTTCTTCTTATTATTATTATTATTTCAATCTTCTTATTATTTTTTTTTGCTGTACGTATGTGTATATATACGTACGTGCGTACGTGTGTGTATGTATACGTACGTACGTGAGTGTGTGTTTGCGTGCTTATGTGTATGTATATAAGTGTGTGTGTGTCTATGTATTGTACGAACGTGTGTACACAAGTGAACAACGTATAAATTATACACTGCCAACATCATTTACGTATGAGACGTCGGATTCACCTAATTGAAAGAGGTCAATTAATGGATAGATTAACATTAACATTAACCAGCAGTTGACAGCAAATAATATTAAGAATAATAATAAAATAATAATATTAATAGAGTAATAAGAAGAAGGAGGCTGAATAATAGTAATAATAATAATAATAATTAATTAAATGTAAAACTTTTGGAAATTACCTCATCAAATCAAAGCTATTTATAACCGTGTAATCTGTGTGTGTAAATATGACGTGCTGTATGTTATCATTATTTGATGCACACACACACACACACAAACACATACAAACAAACACACACACACACATACAAACAAACACAAACAAACACACACACCCACACATGTAAATGTTACAAATAAAAAATTAAACCATTGAATTTCCTTAACGTTTAAATCATACAATACAAAAAAAATACAATAAAATACCATACAATACAATACAATACATTCTCTATATTTAAACAATGCATGTATAAGCCCATGAAAAATTATACTAATTATAACTGATATTATATCTAACTAATATACCCCATACACAATATATACAATACAATACCATACTATATGATGTAATACAGTACAAACAATATCTGGGAATATATTATTTTATATAGATATGCCTTTACATTCACACAACAACCATCACATAGAAAAAATGATATTTTATAGAAAAAAAATACAAACATACACAAATACATACAAACGCACACAAACATATATACAAACAAATACAAATAAATACAATCACACACAAACATATATACAAACAAATACAAACATACAGTGACAATGCCAATAAACGTTTGTACCTGTTCGCCAGCCAAGGTATTCTTAGCTTCTTCAACGAGAGAGTTAATTTTGACGTAAGTGAAGCTACTTTTAGTAGTATAAGTAGTTGTAGTAGTAGTAGTAGTAGTAGTAGTAGTAGTAGTAGTAGTGGTAGTAGTGGTGGTAGCAATGGTAATGGTAATCATTATTAATATTTCGTATCGATGTTACGTAATTTTTATTAATAATAATTCTAATAATATAATAATAATAATAATGATAATGATAATAATCACGACAATACTGTTGATAACAACAATTTTGATGACGACGATGATGACGACGACGACGATGGTGGTAACTTCATCAACAGAGTGGTTGCAAGCCCTGCCTGCCAATTGAGACAGTCTTCCTGAAAGATGCGCTGATCAAAAGAAGCAACACAAGCAACACTGGTTTTAAGGTTGTTGTTGTTGTTATTATTATTATTATTATTATTATTATTACCATCATCATTATTATTGTAATTATTAGTAGTAGTAGTAGTAGTAGTGGTAGTTGTAGCAGTAGTAGTGACAGTTATCTTGCTAGAAAAGATAGAAAAAATGTACAATAATAATTAAAGTAGTAGTAGTAATATTAGTAGTAGTAGTGGTAGTGTAGAAGTAGCAGTAGTAGTAGTAGTAGTAATAGCAGCAGCAGCAGCAGTAGTAGTAGTAGTGGTGGTGGTGGTGGTGTTGGTGGTGGTGGTGGTGGTAGTAGTAGTAGTAGTAGCAGTGGTAGTAGTAGTAGTAGTAGTAGTACTTGAAGTGAACAAAATGTAAAGTAAACATAGGGCGTTGAATGGGGCGTTTTATAAATAAACTAATCGTCAGTTATCTGTCTTGTTAAGATAGAGATAATGTTTGCTGTTGTTACTACAACAACTACTACTACTGCTACTGCTGCTTCTGCTGCTGCTACTACTACTACTGCTACTGCTACTACACTTACTACTACTACTAATACTATGATAATAATAACGACAGAACAAAAATAATAATAATAATAAATAATAATATAATAATAACCCCTTCCAGATATTATGTCGGAATGGAGTCTGTTACACGTTTAGTGGTAGATGCGGTGAGGATGTATCAGCTTGGATCAAGTTTTTAACTAAGACCATACAAAATTTGGTTGGTCGGTTTGGTTACATACAAACGTGTTTTTGTATGTGTTTTTGTATGTGTCTGTATGTTGTTGTACCCTGCTATGCTGTTGTACACTGCTTTCTTGTTGTACAACACTGCTATCGATGGAAAAGATGAGTGAAGAAGCTAATGATAATGATGACGATTGTGATAATAGTAATGACGTTGAAAATGACGAAGATGATGTTGATTTCAACGATAATGACTAAAAGAATGAAAAAAATGAACATGACATAACTAATCCATTTATACCGACTCAACACACGCACGCACACACACACACATGTACACACATACACGTACACATACACACGCGTACACACGTACACACGCACACACATACACACGTACGTATACACAGGACTCGAAGAAGCTCGTTACTACACCTACCTTAAATGCTAAATCTGAGAAATTGAAACAGTTTATAGGTTCGTTGGACGAATTTTTTTAGCATTTGCGCCATCTTTGCCATCCTCACTCTTGTTATCGTCTTTCGGTTCCTCGTCATCATCTTCAACATCCTCACCACCATCATCTTCATCACCACCATCATCGTCTTCCTCACCACCACCATCATCTTCATCAGATTCACCGGTGGCAATGACATTACAATTGAAGAAAACAAAATTAATGGCGATTCTTAACAAACGCTCAACAAAGAATGAACTGAGTCAGAAGGGAATTTACAAAGGTAGCTACACACACACACACACACACACACACACACCCCACCACACACACCCCACCACACACACACACCACACACACCACAAACACACACCACAATGCCACACCAAACACACATCACACATACACACACATGATGTATGTGGCATCTCAGACATTGCACGTGATCAACAAGGATATCTTTGCGTTCGAAACTAGTCCCTGCAGCAGCCGGTTCAGGCGTTTTAACCATTACACCATCTTGTCATCTGTTATGCAATATATACAAATCTATAGGATATCATAAACAACCATAGATGCAGCGTTTGGAGCCAGTTTAGAAACGTATTGCATGCAGAAGAACTGTATTGGGCCACCGTTGTTCCTCAGACTTTGCATCCAAGAAATCGAAAAACGAGGTTTGAATGAATATTTGTGGATTTATGGATTTAGATTTGTATGTGTGTGTTTATGTTTATGTGTATGTGTGCGATTGTGTATGTGTGTTTTTGACAAAAAGGTATTAGTGCGAAAGAGAGAGAGAGAGAAAGAGAAAGAGAGAGAGAGAGAGAGAGAGAGAGAGAGAGAGAGAGAGAGAGAGAGTGATTCATTCATATGAATTTGTGATACGAATAAAACACTTCTTGAATTTCAAATCGCTTTATAATTTAGAAATTTTATTTTAAAACCTTAAAGATTTTTTTTTTATTTTTGAAATTTTTGTCAAAGGCCTGAAGGAAGACGGCTTATACAGGAAGGGCGGAAGTATATCTGAAATTCAAGCCGTCAGAGTCCAAATCAATCAAGGTAGATGGCTTGTTTTTATGTATATTTTTCATTAACTTCATCTAATTTCAAAAAAAAACATTTAGAAAATAATTCAACGTGAATTTATGGCCAGGAACTTTAACCACTACACCACCTTATTAAGACACACACACGCACACACTCACACTCACACACACACACACATACACTCGCACATACACTCACACACACGCACACTTTCCAAATGAACAGACGTCTTCAATTTCTCCAAAGTTCAAGACATCCACACGCTGACTAGCCTGGTAAAATTGTACTTCAGAGAATTATCATCCCCTTTAATACACCCACACCTCTTCATCCAGTTCTTCCAATCTGTCGGTATGTCCACGTGTTGATATGTCGGTATGTCCATGTGCATGTGTTGATATATTTGATTTTATTTATTTTATTATGTTTTTATTCATTTTATTTATTCATTTATAAATTTTATTTTTCATTATCGGTTTTTATGTATTATGATTAAACTCAAGAGTTTTTTATTCAATACTTTCCATAAATTTTCTATCGTATTATTAGTAATTTTATTATTTAATATTATTATTATTCAATATTGTTATAAATTGTTACTGACAAATTTATTTATTCATTATAGAATTAAATCATAATCATTTTTCAAATATTTCATTGTAGAATTAAATCATGATTATTTTTCAAATAATTCATTATAGAATTAAATCATAATCATTCTTCAAATAATTCATTATAGAATTAAATCATAATCATTTTTCAAATCTACGCAGGTCTCGGTGGCGAGCAAACCTGCTTGAATGCATTGCTGGCGTTGGTGAACGGACTGAATACTGTACACTATCACACATTACATTACCTAGTCGATCATCTCAAAAAGTTAGAGACTGATGACGATGACGATGTGGCGATGATGCTGACGAGTTGATGATAAATCTGATGATGATGAGTTGGGGTAACGATGATGATGGTGTGATGATTATGATGGTGATGAAGATGAATATGATAATTACGATGATGACGATGATAGTTCCTTTAATTGTAAATAATCATATCTCTTGTAATTAATAGATACGCTTAATTGCTTATGCTAATTACAACACCATTTAATATAATTAAATGTAACGGTAGAGCACAGGGCCTCCTTCTATGTTTTTATCTCGATCATTATTTCAAAATTTACGTCACCACTGTATCTATCGCCTTCATCATCTTCAACAGTTTCATCATCATCATCATCATCATTATAGTCATCATTTTCTTTATCATCGTTTTTATTATCATCTTATTCTTCTTCTTCATCATCTTCATTACCCCCACCATCATCACCATCGCTATTGTCAGAGTAGCCAAAGAGAGTGAATCGAATCGGATGACCAACTCGAATCTATCAATAGTATTCGGACCGACATTGGCCTGGATGGAAGCCGTTAAAGATGACGGTACCATCCTTGTGGTCAAACAAGCGAAATTGGTACAACTAATAATTGAGAAATCGGATTATTTATTTAAGAATTAGGTGAGGGTGATGGTGAATTTTTTGAGATATAAATATATAACATACACAGTATTGTATTCTATAGTATAGTATTGTATAGTGTAGTATAGAGTTTGATTTTGTGAAATGCTCTGTAATTTTGAGGAAATTCGGTTAAAGTTTGTCAAAAAGAAATGTGAAACTAGAATGCATTGTTGGTTTTCTTTATGTGCAAGTGTGTGTGTGTGTGTGTCTGTATGTGTGTGTGTGTGTGTGTGTGTGTGTGTGTGTGTGTGTGACTGTGTGTGTTTGTATAATATTAATTGAAAAATTCTTTAAAAAAATTTATCACAAGCGCACACGCACGTCTCATTATTAGAAAGTTATAATAAATAATATTTGACGCCTACAAACTTAATACAATAATAAAGATATATTTAACTTATTATTAATAATATTAACATGGTAAAATGGGTTAAATGTTATAGTCAAATTTTTTTAAAATGGTCCCAATAAGTTACGATTGTAACGTTAAAAAAAAATTTAAAATAAAAAAGACAAAAAAAATGGAAGCTTTAGTAAAAATTTCAAACTCTCCAAACAAATATGCTTGTTATTATGAAATGAATTGCAAGTTTTTATAAAAAAAAAGTCTTATGCTGTTTAGGAGAAAAACCAAAGTGAATGGTATTGCAACAACATTATGTTAGCAAGCGTGTGTTGTTAGAACAAATGAAAGCATCGTTACATATAATTTGATGTTCATATAGATTAAATAGTTATAATAAATTATGTTAATGAGTTTACCCGATATTGTAATTATCATTTTAATCTCCATGGTGTAAAAAATTCATGACCTCACGCAGACAGACACAGATTCACACACACACACAGACGGAGAGATAGAGAGAGACAGACAGACACACACACACGCAAACGTGTTCATTCAATATTGTCATGAAAGTTATTAAACACGCCAATTTATTTGAACAGTCCGATTTAAAATAATTGTGATTAAGGCATTAAATAAATAAATAAATAACTTGATCATACTCAATTAATAATGCACCTAACGTTCAGGCATCCTAATAAAATATCACCCAGTTAAATCCAATTAAATATTTTACCGCGATAACTCACCAATTTATGTTAATCTTATTGTATTCTTTTCCTCTCTCTCAATCTCTTCCCCTAAGTTTCGCGTCTATAATTTCTTCTTCATCATTTCACGTCACGCCAGCTTACTTACTGGAGCCTAATTTCTTGAAAGCGCCAAGAGCGGCCAGCGGCTGTAGCAGTCTCTTCTTGATGATTTTGGTGCGATCCACCAAAATTTGGTTGGTCGGATCGATGTTAAGATCCATGGCTTCTGATTCAGTGACCTGCTTGGCCTTCAAAAAACCTTTCACGAGGGCATCTCCAACGTAAATTTTCTCGTTGGTGACGTTGTCGTAGAAGTAGCCGTTGTCCTTGTCGATGAGGCCCTGACGGACCGCCTCGTCGAATGGCACTGTCTTCTTGTTCTTCCGGTCAACAACCGCACGAACGGCGTATCTGTTTGAAAGATTAAAATTTTAATGTTTAAAGATCATGCGTATTTTTGCTGACTATTTTAACCTTTTGATAATTTGCTCGGGTTCTTTCGCTTCTTCCAGATATTGAACAGCCAATAATTTTTTATTGATGGCTTCATTTAAACTTATCGTCTTCTTGCAAGCCGTATCGAAAAAAGTACTGCGTTCCAAGTCGATGATTTTCTTTTCCAAGGCCTCTGCCAGGTTCAAATCTTTCCCGGCTGATGTGTCACGTGCGAGCTGGATGGAGTAAGGTCTGGTGGTCTCCTTTAAAGATTTGATGGTGAGGATTCCGACCGATGATTTCTGCTCTTTCTCAATCTTCCTCGATGAAAATGTCACTTTGATGAGTCCCTGCGACATTGCCACCTTAGATTTCGAACAGGTTAGACGACGTTTACGGTAGGACCACATCGGGTCAAATGAGATTGAAATCAAATAAGAATAAATAAAGAAAAATAAACTGTTTTATTATTCTTTAAATTTAAAAATCTAAATTTAAAAAATGAAATTGAAATCAAATAATAATAAATAAAGAAAAATAAATAAACTATTTTACAATTCTTTAAATTTAAAAATCTTGCCAAAAAAATTCAAACAACCTGTATAGGAATGTCTTCTCCTTTTTTGGTATCTCTGTATACGCCGCTTGCTGGCACGATGATGCCTGTTCAAAATTTATGACATCAATCAACAAACTCAACGTACACATACACACACATTTATGCATACACTCACTCACACACACACATTCAGACACACAAACGTCAATAAAATTTAAACCCCGTTCATTGCCCTTCACCAGCCCACCTTTATAAATAGCATCATCCAATGATATCTCCTGCCCGTTCGCCGGATTGACCACAGATCTGATGGTGAACGTTTGTCGTTCTTCGACGTGTGCAGAGGTCACTTGTTCAGTGTCCGCCGAGTATTTCGTCGTCTCCGCGCCGAAATCTGCCGTCCGCTGATTGTCTCCCAATCCAGATGTCGGCAGTTTTGGTCTTTTGATCTGATTTGGTTTAAAATTAAATCAGACCACGTTGTCATCAAGAGTTTCAATTTGTTTTTGTAAAACGATAACAAATACTGAAAATCAGGATGTGATATAAGATAAAATTTGTAAAAATGGACAGAAAATAAAATGAACAGAGAGACAACAAATACATCTAACAACCAGTTGAGCGGCATCAGCAGCCAATGAGGTCGTCTGTTGTTTGGTGCAAGCGATTACCTCGGGTTCCAGCAGCTCAACTTGTTTGACGGTTTGTTCCAGTGCTCCAGCCTCTGTAGCGAACATGAGAAGAAGGTTGTCCAATTCGTCTTCGTGTCTGCTGCTGGCTGTCGACTTCACGACGTCCAGTTTTACCGAGTCGTCAATCTTCTCTCCGTCGATCGAATAATCCGAATCGCTGAACTTCACGTCGTCAACTTTCAAGGTGGTCAGCCACAAGCTGAATGATGGAGATGTTTGTTTGTTTGGTTGACTGGTTGTTTGGTTGGTTGTTTGGCTGGTTGTTGGGCTGGTTGTTTGGTTGGTTGGTTGTTTGGTTGGCTCTACTGTTGGTTGCGTTTATTTGTTTTTTTTTTATAAAATTGAAAGCGATGTTTTCTGAACATTTGTTGGCATTATTTAATTTCGATGGATAAGTAACTCTCATGATGGCACGTAATTGCTGTATTATAAATGTCCGCGCTATTAACTCAGTTCTGGCTGTGCTCACTCATTCAAAATTGTTGATAACGGATGGATCATTTTTTAAATCTTTTAACTAGTCAAAACTACAACAACCACACGGACAACAACTGCAATCACCACAACCACATCTACAACAACCACAACTGCAAACCAACCGACCGTGTAACTTGATCCAGTGGAATGTATTGCAGCTGTTGCCAATTTTCCAACAGCAGCATCAGCTCCGGGTAATTGTACACATCAAGACCAGTTTTATACAACTCCCAATCTTTTGATAATTCCTGTATACAATATGCATACGCGTCGGCATTTGATACGTCTTAAATACCGGTTCGTTTAATTATTTAATAAGGTGTTTTGTTGAATCTTCTATAACATTTTACATGGGTATGTCGTATTATTGAACTGATTTAGTTTAGTTTTTGTGTACCTTATTAAAAAAATTTATTAAGTACATCAGAGGTTTGTATGATGTTGGGATGGTTTCGAGTTTGTATATTATGTTTGTATATTATGTTTGTATACAATCTTTGTATGTTTGTTTGTATTGTATTTATCGCATGAGTGGATCGCGGATGTATTGAATTGATATTGACGCGAGGGCAAACACGGTGAGAAGGTTGTACCTTGTATATGTTGGCAACATCGCCGAACACTGGAGTACCGTTGATTAACGTGTCGATCTTTCTATTGGTGGCTGTTGTATTGAACAAAAGAACAAATGAATCAATGAATAAATAGAGGAATAGAGGAACAAACGAACGAATGAATGAACGAGCGAATGAATGAACGAACGAACGAACGAACGAACGAATTAATGAATGAGAGAATGGATGGATAAATAAACGAATAAATATATGTCTGATTGATAGGGCATCTCGCATGCACACATTGATACACCATTGTTATCCATATTGTACATGCATGCGCACGTACGCACCTATGCTTCCTCCAGTGCAATCACTATTCACCACCACATAAATATAATGTTATAGTAACATGGTATCTAATTTTTTTATTTCCAAATTATTTTCCAAAAATATTTCGAAACGTATGAATAATTTTGATTTTGACTAAATTTTTTTACACCGCACCACCTTTTCACCCAAAAACCCACCCACCTCCTGCGGTCTGCCCCAAGTCAGAATCCCCCTCCAACAACAGCCTCATAACTCCAAATCTTTCCTCCATGGTAGCGAATCCGTCGTGTTGGGACCAGAATTTCTTCAGAGTGTCCTGGACGAGCGTCAACATGAACAGGATGTTTTCCTTATCCCAACCCTCCAAGTTTTGCAGGATTGACGCCTGGAGTCGGTAGTTCGATTAGAATGAAGGTGCACATACACACACGTACATACACGCACACACACGCACACACACACGCACACACCTCGTCGTTGTTGTATTGCGCCTTGAAGATTTTCAATAGCAACTTGATAAACTTGGCACCATAATTTTTCAAGATGCTCGTCCAGTAAGCCAGCAGGATGAATCTCAACCTGTGTTGTTAATTGTGGGTTTTAAAGAGATTTTATTAAATGATTTTTTGTGGGATATATTTTTTTTAAATCCTCATCTAAATTTTTGTAAATGACTATGTTTTACTGAATTTCTTTCAAATTTCATCACACAAATCTCTCAAACAAGTACCAAATTAATTAAACGTCACACATAACGCAATTAAATTTGATAACTATAATTCAATCTTTGAACATTTCATTAAAAAGATAATAATAATGACAGTTTTAATAAACAAAACTAACTTATCAAGGGCCTGGACTGCGTTCTTATCGGGGCCCGGAACCAAGACGAAGAGGGCTGGTACGTAACCTTCGTCACCCCTTCCGTTGCTAATCTGTCAGGAGGGGGCAAGGTCAGGGTCATCAAAGTTAACGTTAGGTGAAAGTTTAAATTAAGATGTTTAATGAACGATTAAATTGATTTGACCAAATATTTCATGAAAAAAATGACCTTCCACTGATCATTAGCACCGCCTTCCAGCACCAATATATCTTCCTTTTCTCTCATTTTCACCTATTTATAGACATTTTTAAAAAACAATTAGCAATTAGCATTTAAACAAACTAAAAGAACATTTAATGAAAATAAAAATAACAAAAAAATGTTTTAAAATAAAATTTCGGAAAAAATGTACGAACGTTATCGTGATAGAATGTAGCCAAGGCAATTGCAGGGATAGCAGTGGCGTTCTGCTTGGTTCTCAAATCAACCGGTACCAAAGAAGAGCTCATCTTCAAGAGGCGGTCCAACTTACATTTCCACTGAGATAGGGTCCTGTGTACTGCCTGTTTGTTGTTTGAAAAAAAATTTGATTGAATTTGATTGGCTAGTTGGTTGGTCGGTTGGGTGGTTGGTCGGTCGGTCGGTTTGATTTGTTGTGATGAAATCCGTAACAATCCGTAACGAAGAAAATTGTTTTTTTTTTACTTGGAATTCGTTGAGAAAGTAGCCCAACGTCTCATCAGTTGGATCGCTGATGCACAAATTTTCAAAATTTGAAACTGTATCCTCGAGGTCGCTGTTCATCCATTTTTCACTTTCTTCAATTTCGTGGTAGAACTGGAGGAGCGAACAGACAAATGAATGATTGAATGAATGACTGAATGAACGAAGGAATAAATGAATGAATGAAAAAAGGCTAGACAGATAAAAAAATTGACGACCAACCATCGAGTTTTAAAAACTATCCAATATTAATTTTATATAATTTCAAAAAGAACAACAAAATTAGATAGATATTGACATACACAAATTATCACTTTGAAAAACTGAAAGGAACCTGATGGTACTCAGAGGCATTGGTGAGGTGCACTTGTAAACATCTAGCCATAGTGGATATCGTGTTCCATTCGTCTGTCAGTCCAAAAATACAGTTCTGAGAGAGATAATTTTTGTTTTAGTTTTGCCGACTCTGAAAACTAATTCATTCAATTTTTCATTCATTCTTTTTTCATTCATTCATTCCTCACTCGTTCATTCATTCGATTTATTCATCGATCCATCCAACCAACCTGGGATAACTGGCCGATGAATCCGGGCAGTTGGGAACCGGACGTAGCGCAAACATTTTCCTTCTTATCCTTAACCAACTTCACCGCAGTAGTGTCAATCAAACTCGAAAGATTCTAATAATTTATTTATAATTATTAATTATTATAAAATATTAATTATTTAAATTATTTAAAATTCGTCATCATCGTTGTCGTCATCATCATCATTTTCATCATCATCGTCGTCGTCTTCATCATCATAATTATCATAATTATATTATAATAAAAACAGCCATCCCCACCCAGCACGGCTGTTCAAGGGTGCCGACTGATAACAGCACATTCAGACAGTGGAGTTTTTTTGCACTGGCGGACTGTTAATTATTAAAATAAAATAAAATAATTATTTATAATTAGTATTTATAATAATTAATTCGATAATTTAATTATAAAATAATAAAAATAACAACAACAACAGTAATAATAATAATAATAAGAAGAAGAAGAAAAATTATTGTGAATGGTTGGATAAGATAGAACGGGATAAAATGGGATGAGATTGGATGATGTGGAATATAATGCGATGAGATGATGAATAAAATGTTGTGTTGTAATGAAGTAATGAGACCTTTAACGATTCAAGAGATTCTTTGTACTTTTTCTTGTCACCTTCAGACAACTAAAATTTAATAAATTAATTTATTTTTTGACATGAAATAACCAAAAAATGTCTTAAAATGACATTGAAGCACTAATGGCATTAATTAACTTCCAAAAATCGACAACAGGTCGACAACAGAAAAATAGGTCGACAACAGAAAAATAAGGAATACGCTTCATTGAAAATACGAAAATATCGGGATACGATACATTTTATCCGATCCCATAACAGTAGCTAAAACACGATGAAAAATCCCTCTAACCGCTTTTGAGTCTTCGTCACACTTAGCAAGCAAATCATCCACCTCTTTCTTCAAATTATTTTGCAGTTCAATGGATTTCTCGATGCCCTTGCTACATTGACCAGATGACCCAAACTGAATTTTGTCTCTCAACTCTTGGGCCCTGGAGAATAGGGCCGATGACGAACTCTTGTCGCTTGGTGGGGACATAATTTGGAAGTTTTGTTGGGGATTATTAATATCTGTTGGGTGAACAATAACAATAATAATATGAATAACAATAACTATAATAATAATAATAAATGTGTTAACCACACAATCAACTGACATTCAAACAAGATTCGTGAAAGAATTGAATGAATGATCAGAAGTTATTGCAAATCTATCTAAATCACACACACACACACACAAACACACACACACACACACACATAGTAGCTACGTGTTTAACGTTTTTTTATAATATATCTAATGTTGTTATAATTAATATAATATTATACATACAATATATTAATATCAATCTTTATATATAAACATATATATACACACGAATTTAAATTTCAAAGCTATCCATATACTAATAGCTATTGAATTGTGATAAGAATATAAGTGTTAAACTATTTATAGCCGGCATATATTTTAAATCCAGAATATAAAATTTGTATAAATTCTATAGCTAAGTACAGCACAACAATAGAGCTAGTAAATTATGTATTTGTATACACTAATGCATAAGACATATGTGTATGTATGTATGTGTGTGTGTTTTTGTTTGTATACGTGTGTGTGTTTGTATGTGTGTATATGAATGTATTTTTGTTTGTTTGTATTTATGTGTTGTATATATTAAATAATGAAAAACGCTTACTACGATTGTCTGCCTACAAAAGCCAAGAGATCTAACAGATGAATGAATAGGTATATATATATAGTTTAGATGTATATATATATATATATATATGTATGTATATTATTTTGTATGTGTGAGTGTTTGTATGTGTGAGTGTGTTATATACATGTGTAAAGCTAGTTATCTTGTTATCAATATATGCCATCACGAAATTCTATTTTGTGTTTTGTAGTGTATGTAAGTTTATGTTCGAATGATCAAATGTGAAGAATATGTATGTGTGTGCATGTATGTTGTATGTGTGTGTGTGTATGCATGTGTATGTATGTATATATATATATATAGGAATATATATTTGTATGTATGCGTGTATGTTTGCATATGTGTGTCTTGTTAAAGGTGAACAAGATGTAGTAAAACTGGATGATGAGTGTATAACGCTATGCTAAGCTGTTTTGTATGGTTGTATGATGACTGTTTGCATGGTATATGCATCAATGATCATCACGATGTATTTCGTATAAATGTATGGTATTTGTATATATGTGTGTATGTATTTTTGTATATGTATGTAAATATGTATGTGTATGTATGAATGAGCAGATATGTGTGTATGGGTGCATATTTATATTATGTGTAGATGTATAGTTATAATATGTGTATGGATATGTACTTAGGATGGTTTACATTTCACACGCGCACACACGCATGCACACACGTACACATTGAACTGTTTTACATACAATTATACGTAATTTTTTTACTGTTATTTTTAAATCAACTAAGCAGCGACGGTTGATCAGATTAGAGGTGATTTATAAATTTTTACATTCGAATTTTCGCTAACCAGATCATAATTTTTTGTGAGTTTTGAGATATTTATTAGACCATAATAAACTAATAATAGATATTATATCTATGAATATTAATTTTTAAAACTTAGCAAAGTCAAATCTATCGATCCGAAGTAAAGGAGGACACCTGTGATTTCTTGACAAAATTCAGAAGATGAGGATGGTCTCTACAATGAAAAATAACTTGAAACAACGTCCTTATCTCAATTTACAATTTTCATTATTATATTTGAATTTATTTGTATCTATTTGATAGTTATTTAATATTTGTTTGATATTTTCACTCTCTCTCTCTCACTAACACACACACTCACATTCTCTCTCTCACACTCACACGCGCGCGCACGCACACACATAGTAAAAAAATTTATGACGAAAAGACGAATCCTAAGTAATAGCATCAAAATGTTTTTTGAGTTATCTATAGGAAATACTGTGTAACAATTAACACGGTGAAAATAGCATTGTTGTTATTATCGTTAATTAAGCTGAAGGAATTTCATATCTGCGTTAATTTATTTGAGAAATTCATTTCGAATGGTAGGGTTAGAGTACTTTCCCTAGAGTTTGAAATCATGAAGAAGAGATGTGATCGAATGCGAGGTTCTGGTTTCAATGTTTGCCTCAAAGTTAAAACATTAAGACGTGCGGATATTATTACAAATTAATTTATTTAGGAATGTTTGACACAATTGATTGTTGAAAGAACCAAATGAAATACATCGAAAAAGAGGAGAAGATAAATTTGAATTAAATAAGCTATCACGATTATATTGAAACTGAAACACCGAAAAATAATAAAAGTGTACAAAATCAAGCGTTGAAATTTTAAAAATTAGAAAAAATAATTGAACACTATTAAACTGAATAAAATTATCAATCTGACGAGATTAAAATCAAAACTGCAGGCTGCACTCTTTTGAGAATGATATATCAAACTGAAAAAATTGAACGCTGTCTCCGGAAAATCCGTGAAGTATCCGTCGATTCCAAGCAGGAAAAAGTCCATCATCTCATTGCAAGGATCCTGGTGGTAGTCCCAAGGTAGAAACATAAACTCGTTCCGGAAGGTGTATGTGTGGATGCGTAGGTTCGAATCCCGGCAGCGCTTGATCAAATCGGAGGAACGGCCGGTGATCGTCTTATTGGCATCATCCACTTGGACGAAATGTCTTTTATCGGGTCCAATGCCGTATGCGTACTTTGATATGCTGGAGAATGTATGTTATCTCGATTCTAACTGCCACTCAATCAGTCAAACAGAAACTTAGCATCGAAAACTTCAACGACAACGAACGATGAATCCACCGACCGACAAAGTTTTCAGACATGTCATAAACACAAATTTAGATATTTTACCAGCCATCAACACTTGAAATCGGAAAACTGGGAACGACACCCACCTTTTCAAACGTTCCTGGCTGGTGTCAGCTGGATAGTCCATCAAGTAGACGAGAGGAAGTGGGGATATGCTGCTGACGTACATCAAACTATCCTCGTAAAACGATTGCACGAAACAAGGACTCCTTTTGCTGCTGTATCCTTCCTTGTGTAAAATTTCAATGACGATGTCTTCGAATTTTTTCTTAGCTTTCTCTAGCATCGGAACGTTAGTGTTGAAGAAGGTGGCATCCTTCAATTCAACATGCAATCCAATCGGTCGTTTGGAACTCTTGGCAACCTGGAAAGTTTAACATAGGTGGATTCAGCAGCGAGAAAAACACAACGTGACAAAAAGCGGAAAGAAACAATCCTGAACCAACACCAATCATCTCCTCCAACGTTGATATTTTGAACTTCCCATTGTAATCCTGGTTTCTAAACGTTCGTTTTTCAACTTTCCCCAGCGTTTTCAATTCTTCCAACGTGAAATCAATTGAGAAATAATCTCTGATGGTGATGTTGCTGCCAGGAATGAAGTATTGAGAAGATCTGTCAGGCGCAAATTTGGAAGCCACGTCGGTTGATTCGTTCATCCAACATTCGTGCAGACACACAACCACCAAATCTTTCGTCAGCGCGGCGTCGCACTCGATGACGTCAGCGCCGTACTCCACCGCCATCTCGTAAGCTTCGACCGTGTGTTCCGGAACGGCCCCACTGAACCCTCTGTGGGCGATAATGAGTGGTTTGTTGGTAGTCACGTGATCCAGTTCGTGGTCGTACGTCCATTTCACGCCGGCGTCTGTTAAGCGACTGTTAAACAGTTAAATGGACACAAATCAGGCCTACTCGGTGAAAAATTTTCAAAGTTGATTTTTAAAATATCTGTTGACATTTTAAATCTATTGAAATCAGACAAAACTGAACTTACTTGAAGTTGAAGGGACTGAAATCGACACTAGTGACCGGAGGAACATAATTGGACAATTGGTGTGACGCGATCAAACACATGAACAACACAAATGGAAGCGTAAGAACCGCCATCACACTAGTTCTGCTAATCCTGAATGTGAAGAAACGAAAATATTTTCTACCGCCACTCCTCCTATTTGTAGATGTGTGCAACTGGGGGCTTGTTGTATCACTCACTGGTTTCTGCACTTTGATACTGCGTGTTAGTTCGTCGGCGCTTGTAGCGACATCTTGTCGGTTGTTGTAGTTTGATCTCATTTTAATGGCCATCTTAAGTACCATTAAACAATTCGAAAGCCAACAGTTTGATTTCGCTTGCTTGCTGCCAACTTTAAAAAATAATTCAACTGAATTTAAGACGAGTTAAATAAAAAATAATGCTAGGCACTTCTTATGGTTGTATTTGTTTGCTGACGTTCATGAATACATTACATTTTTAATTTATTCATTTTTCATTTAAGGAAATGTACTGTCTTTATTTATAAATTAGTAATATAACATTCGAAGTAAATCAGCTGATCTGATCATAGAACATAAACAACATAGACAAACATCTCTTAGTTTATTTATTTTGCACTAGTGCTTTGTTTATTTCAAAATCTTAACGTCGTCCAACAACTTGAGTTGTGAAAAAACAACAGGATACTTAAACAAGATAAAAAAAATTTTTGGACTAATCACAAGTAAGATCCTAACAATTTATAATACGTTAGCCTCAGCATATTGTTTCGTTGAGAGACAAAAGTAAGTGCTCTAACGAAAAGCGGATTTAAAATCGAGTGCGTTCATTAACAAAGAGCATTAGACAGAGACACACACGTATACGGTCTATATAGAAGTGTCTATAAACACATTCAGTGTATATAGACACTACATTCAACGGTGAATACCTGACATACAAACTATACCCCTTTCATTTGGCATACCATGCCAGTTGATGAAAATGCATCAAGGTGTCTATGTGTCGCAAAAATTCGAGAATATTTTACAAGTTTAATATCATAATCGTGCCATCACACGTATGAAAAATCTAAATAAATTAGAAATTGAATCCTTCATCAATTGACCATCTTCTGATCCCAGCAACCCATGTTTCCAGGACAACAGCATCCAAACATTGATCCGGATTCGAAATGACGTCCCTATCGAGAACGACAAAATCCGCGTAAAATCCCGCTTTCAACTGCCCAAGCTTGTCCTCCATCATAGCGGTGAACGCACCTCCCTGCGTGTATATATCAACCGCCTGCTCAATGCTCAAACATTCCTCTGGCCTGCAAAAATAAAGAATAAAATATAAAATGAAATGAAATAAAATAAAATTTGTAATAATGAAGCCCCAACGAGAATCACAATTTACTCCAAACGATGTGTAGCATCCTTCGTTAAAAATGACAAATTAACCAAAACGTGACTTTTTGATATATGTACGCTGGTATAAAATGAACGTTTGAAATACGTAAAAAGATCAGTATAAATTATTAAACAAAATTTTTTCTGCAACAGATAACAAACATCCGACTTGAAAACAGAAGAATTTTTGAGATCCCTGTTCTCGCTGGTCCTGAAGACGGCGTCAAACATTCCCATCAGTGAACGTGGCTCTTCAATGGGAGCGTCCGAGCCGCCTGCTACACATATGCCTGCATGTTTCATTGATTGATTGATTGGTTGGTTAGTTGGTTGATTGATTGATTGATTGATCGATCGATAAATGAATGAATGAATGAGTGAGTAAATGAATGAACAAAATTTCAATCCAGCATTAACTTCTACTAAGACTACTCAACACGTAAAATAGCAATTAAATACTAACAATTTTATCGTAATACATTGCAGACATGACACAATTTCAGACCATCAAAACATTATTTTCATAAAAAATTCAATACAGGAAGTGAAAAAACCGTGATCCAGAATAGATTTCCAGGTGTAAGCGTATTGAAAAAGTTTCTCAGGAAGATACGAATCAATAGCATAGGTGTCAGTTACGACGAACTGCGGCTGAATACTCGCTATTACACCTTTTACTTTCATCCGCTCTATCAAGTCTTTTCTTAAAATCTATGAAAATTGTGATGAATGAATGACTGACTGGCAAGTAAAATAAGTTAATTCAAATTCAACCAACAGCTAATACCCACCCACGGAGCACGTAATTTGAAAATTAGTCAATAGTTTGAAAAATAAAAAATGAGCATCTATCACCTCACAATGAACAAAGATAGGCCTAGAAGTAGGATCTAGATCAATTCTATCAAAAATATTGAGGACCACATCAGCCGCCCTATCTCCAATGACGTGCACCTCCAATCTGTGACCTTCACCGACAACCTCCTTCATCATCTTCTCCTGTTCTTCCTGAATTGCCCGAGTGGAAAATTATTTACACATCCTCTACTTATTAACATCATCATCAACTTCACGTATATAAATCATTTTGTCAATTATTTTCAGTCAATTTAAAAAGTAATAGCCAATGCAATAAAATGATCATCGTTAGCAGAAAAATAAAAACCCACCAATCACAGCACCAAAAAAAGCCTGAAGTGTAAAACAAACAAGCCACCTCGGAAAAGAGTAGAACTCCCAGCCCATCCCCACTCCCAGCGCCATCTTCTGGATTGAAATCAGTGTACGGTAGACTCAGGGCAGCAGTCCTGGCACTCAAGCTCCCATCGACAAAAAACTTCACCTTGTTAAAATGCAACATAGAGCCTCTTTTTTCATTTGGGAAGTTTGGAAAATTAGTTGGATGATTCTTGGAAGTGATGAAGGCAGAGTAGAATATCCTCATTGGAAGTTTGTTTTCGTCGGCAAGCTGACAGAATTCAGTCCAGGTATTTTCCTCACACGTGTGTGCACTTGTTGTTCCATTCTTCAGCAGTTCACACATAGCAGCCATGATGGCGCTTGTTTTTGACCGGCTGGTAGTTGGAGGCAAGTTTTTTTGAAAGCGAATAAGAAGGGGAACTTCCAGGAGTAATCCGGTTGGCTTGTTGGGCTTACTGGGATGGCCGGATGGATACTTATCAATTCCTGGTTCTGAAGAATTCTCATCAATTCCTTTGTCGTTTCAAATTTTTAAACATTCTTGAAAATTTGATTTTATTGGGTAATTAGAGATAACTTGCACATCAGTAAACTAAGAATTATTTAAATACAAAAACATAGTAAATCATATGACAGACGAATAAAAAAATTTAGAAGAACAAAAATTTTTTACCAGCAATGTTGAGGGCCAGCTGGTTGACAACTGCAGCATGCCTGCAACTACTCAACATAATGACAGGCACATCGGGGCAGACCTCATCAATGTCCTCAGCTGTCGGAAACCTGCCCAAGTAATTTTTGTTCCACCCTGAACCTTCAATCCATTTCAGGTCGGGGCTTTTTGATCTATAGTCAGCTATCAACTTCTTGAATTCATCAAAACTTTTGCAGTTCTTAAGGTTGAGTTTGAGCAACGATTCACCATAAGATTCCAGATGGAGGTGGGAATCATGGAAGCCAGGAAGAATTAACTTATTCTAGGAAGTGCAGTGAGATGGAAAACAATTTTAGAAAACACTTTTGTAAAAAAAATAACCGAATAATTGAAACTTAAAATTTAGATAGCTTAATTTTTCATTAAAATAGCTAGTTTATGTGATGTTAATGTAAAATATGAACAATTACTTGATAATCAGTCTTCTGATCATCCTTGAATTCATCAACTGGAGCATCAACAGAGCCAACAGATTCAATGAAACCTGTCACTTTACTGAAGACCATCCAAGTGTTGTACTGTCGTTGTGGAGGTGTTGAATATATCTGGGCATTGTAGGCCAGATGGAAATCGACTTTGGCATCATTTCTTGAGGTCATTTTGCTTCAATATTATATTTTAGAGCCAAAAAATATAAATCATTAAAAATTTTCCAATCAAATTCAATAAAATTATTAAAAATATTACTGTATAAAACCAAGAAACGACTATAAGCTAAATGTTCACTTGAGAACCAGACAGCTGAGCAAAGGTCTGTGTGCTGTTTACTGATACTTTTATAAATTTATAATACATTGCTTTCTAGGTTAATTAGAGTACCTCTATCATTTATAAAAAAATTATTTATTCTTATCACAAACAAGTGATCTTTGCGACCTCGCTGTTGCATAATGAATGTGATTAGATTCATGAAGAGGATAAAGGCTATCTATGTACTCAGCTCTGCAATAGGCTTTTGATGAAGTTTGTGAATCATTTCACTTCAGAATTTATCAAATCGAACAGTCAATCGACCATGACTTGTTAATTTTCTTATTACTCGTTCAATCATATCCCATTAAAATGACAATTCCTAAGCTGTCAATTTTTGTATCTAACATTTACACGATTAAGTTTAACGACCTCTTCGTACATTCACGCTTATAATTGAAAGTCAAAGTTTACTTTTAAAAATAAATTTAAAAGTATAATCTCAAAGTTGTTTTCGTTAAATTAAAACCAATAAAACCGATGCACGTTCGCAGCCGTAAAAATTTAATAAACATTTTTACCATAATTTTATTTAAATAATTACATTTCACTCGATAAAAGTCTGAATAAACGACACCAGTTTATGAACAATCTTTGGCTAACGAAATGCACGTTATTTTATTTTTATAATTTTATATGTTTGTACTAGGCTATTATTAATTCTTCACGTTAGTATGGCATAGTTAGGGCTTATAATATATATATATATATATATATATATATATATATATATAGCATACACGCACTATATATAATAATATATTTAATATATCATATATAATATTACATAAAATATATTACAGTGTATACATGTGTATATGTACTTATATATAAACATATTTAAATTTTAAAGGGATGTGTGTATATGTGATATGTTATTTAAATGTAGTATTGAGGGGTGCCTGTTTAGTGTCAGTCTTTAATATGCATATGTCAATAATATATTTCCACTATGAATGGTATTTTTATTTTATTTTATTTATTTTCATTATAAAACAGTTCATTTTTAATTTTTATGTATATTTAATTTTATTTTAATTGAATCTATTTGGTTGTTGAGTTAAATGTTAATTATATTAATTAAATCCTGCTTATCTTATGTGTCAGTCTTAATTACATATTAATAACCAATAATGTATTATATGTAATAATTAAGAATATATATATATATTTATATTTTCTATCATATATATATATATATATATATATATATATATATATATTATTTTATTATTTTTATATGTGATATGTATATGATTCTCTATCTATCTATCCTAAAAAAACAAAAGCCTGGAGTATGTTTACTGTTTACTATTTGGTTACATACATACATACATACATACATACACATGCATACATATACATACATACATACATACATACATACATACATACATACATACATACATACATACATACATACATACATATGTACATACCTACATACATGTTATATGTATGTACATACGTACTTGTCATATACATAGATACAAAGATTTTTTTGTGTTTTTTTTTGAACGTTTTAAATTTTGCTCCTGCTATCAAAAGTCATTTCGTTTTTTCATGTCCTGATAGTAAACTGAACAGCTGATAAAATAACTTTATAAAATAATTCAATAATAATAATGTTGATGACAATTAACCATATATAATATAAGGCTTAATTAATGAACTACAAATAATTTTGTAGTAGTAAAGTAAAAATTTGCCTGATAAGTTTTTATGGTAAGTCACTGCTAGAGTTTATAGTTAGTTATTATTATTTAATATATTTTATTTTATTCATGTTTAAACGTTGAAATTTTCACTGATAATTTCATATTCTCCATGGAATTGAAGTTTTTAACATTTAAAGTTTAAACTGTCAAAAAGGTTTTCATTCATACTAAAATTCGTCATATAAGCCCATATATTATATAGATATACAATACACTCAATTTTCTTACCTACATACGTCATCCTATATATTTTTTTTCTATCAAATATATCTAGATATGGTATCTATATTACTATTATTATGCCTATTATATCCCCTTCGTTTAAATTTAAAAAGGTACTTTAATTATTACATTTAAAAATGTTTCTTTGATTAATTATGTAATAATTAACAATATAATAATTAACAATATAATAATTAATAATGCAATTATTAATAATTTGTTGAAGAATTTTATTTCAGATACATATCAATCAAGAGTTTAGTTTTTTTTAGTGAGATTTTAATTTAAAATGTCAGTACGTCAGCATCTTCTTCATCATCGGCCAAGAGAGATTCTTATAAGTTTTCCCAATAAACTGACTACTGCTATTGCCAGTACCAATACTACTGCTGCTACTTTTAATGTAAATCTCTTGAGAATCAAGTCACTACTGGAGACATTCTGTGATTAACTCACGTTAATTTACTGCTAGATTTGTTTTAGGAGAAATAATATTTAAGAACAATTGAAATAAAAAAAGGTGTTTTTTTTCTGGATTTTCAATTCATGCCTAAGTATGAAACCTGATGGTGGTTAGTTGTTCATTTATTTTTTTCCTCCACTTATTCATTCATTCATTTATTCGTTCACCCATTCATTCATTCATTCATTCATCAATCCATTTACTCATACATTCATCAATCACTCATTCATTTTTTCCTCTCCAAGAATTAATTTAGTTGGTTTCTTATAATTTATTTTAATTAATGCTTGTCAGATAAGATTTTTGTATATGTCAGCTATATATATATATCAGTTATCAATTTTTTTTATTTTTGTATAGATTTTTATTTAAAATTTAGTTAAATTTAATGGCTTCATTTATTTACTAATCACAATCACTGTAATGTAAACAGTTTCCATTGTCAACAAATTTATCTGACATTATAAATTGAACTAAGGAACTTGAGGAATTATTCAACTTCAGGTTGAACATTATGATGTCACTCATCTTTTACACCACCACATGCCTATTTCCTCTCTCTCTTTCTCTCTCTCTCTCTCTCTCTCTCTTTCCTTCTCTCTCTTTTTCTCACACACACACGCGCGCACACATGTGCATATACATACTCATATATTTTTATATATTTATTTAAATGTAAGTTCATTTACATGTCATTATTAACACCAAGGTGGGTACTTAGACTTTAGATGACAAATAAAACAATAAAGCACCACACACACACGCACACGTATCTTTACAGGGGCCACAAATGATTACAATGTTGAAAAAGGACAATTATTATTAATTCAAAATGCAAATTATATATTATATATAATAAGGAGTTCTGCTGCTTTCATTAGCGTTAATTTACTGACACACAACACATACACACAACACATACACACAACACATGCATTCACACACATACACACACACACAAACACGTACACAAACACACTGACATAAAATTTGCATAGTTGTTTTTTTAAAAATAGAATTAGCCACACCTGTAGCTAAGCTAGGTGGATGAATGTAACGAATAACAGTAATAAAGTTTTCAATTTTGGTAACAACAAAAATAATAATACTAAATTATTTTTACCACTACTACTACTACTACTACTACTACTACTACTACTACTACTACTACTACTACTACTACTATTACTACTACTACTACTACTGTTGATGATAGGGATGATGATAATAATGTTGGTTGATAATGATTATGTGTTGTATGATAATCAATGTTGTATGTCTGTTTAACTTGGTTGGTTTATGTTTATTAAGGTGTAAAAGTGTTTATTTTTGTTGATATTTGATCAGTAGCATTTTGTCTGCCTGCCGAGGTAGTTGTACTTCTACGCAAGTACAACGCGTTCTCTTTGTTCACACGCACGCACATTCACACGTACACACACACACGTTCACACCACACACACGTTCATACCACACACACGCACACACACACACACAATTTTTAATAATCTACTTTACTTGGATCAGATCATTATGTTAATTAAAATGTCCTTGCTGTTTGTTTAAAAAATTGATGCCAGTGAACAGCTGGACGAATGGATGTTGTATTTATGAGGCGCAAGCATATTGGATTTATCATTGTTGGATTGGATGGTTGACTGGTTGGTTTGATGGTTGGTTGGATAGATGGTTGGTTGGATAGATGGTTGGTTGGATAGATGGTTGGTTAGTTGGTCGATCAGTTGATAATCGAGTTTGCTTTTTTTTTATTTTGTTTCTGTGATCTGCAAATAAGCACAAACTGTCAGTTCAACCATTTTCATAGGCAGGAAAAAACAACAGCAACTGCACAGTGCACTGTAAGTCGCAAAACAACAACAATTTCATCAACACGCAAATGTTTTTATGATTGTGGTGACGTAATTATTATTGATATAACGCCGTTTTATTTATTTACGTCTTTTCATTATTACTGATGCTATTACCTATTTATTCCATCATTTGACCATTCGTTCGTTCATTCATTCATTCATTCATTCATTCATTCATCATTCTTTCATTTATTCGTTTAGTTTTTGTTTGTTTTTTATCATTTATCTGTTATTTTCTGCGAATAATTTTAATCTGATGTACGTACTTGCTTGCATTATTACTTTTTTATTTCTCTCTCTCTCTCTCTCTCTCTCTCTCTCTCTCTCTCTCTCTCTCTCTTTCCCTCTCCCTCTCCCTCTCTCTGGTTAGTTAGGTGCTACTTATTTCTTTATGACAATCTTCATTTTATAGAGATAGTGCGCGCCATTATATGTGCATTTGCCTTGTTGTGTGTGCGTGCGTATGTGTATAATGTGTGTATGTGTTATTGTGTTTATGTGTGCGTGTGCGTGTTTGCGTCGGTGCATCTATTTAAGAGCTCTCTGGGTGTCAAACACACCGTTCGATCCTTCAGTATCTTTCCTATCGTCGTTATCATAATTTATTAATTTATTTTTGGAAATTTGTATACATTATCGTGTTGATAAACAAACAACGTTGAGAAATGCCGACCTCTCATTGGTCGCTATTTTCAAACTTGAGACCTTACAGCAGCTGATTATCAGCTGTTTTGCTCGTCAGCTGTTCAATTCGAAGTGGGTCACCACGTGAAAGCATTTTCATTGGTTGATAATTAGGTCAACGGCTGTTTTCTTGTTTTTCCTGCACTTAATTTCGCTTCTCTTATTTTGGGAGTTAACTAATTTATGGAGTTTTTTTTGTGTTTTGTAAATAAGTAGGAGCGGGGAAGACATACATTTGTGTTGCTTCGTTTATATTTATTCATTTTTTTAATGCGTTTGTTGGTGTCCGAGATTTAGAATTTAGGCTTCCAATATATACGTGGCTGGGACACGCGCAAACAATGGTCGTGACCTCCTCAATTACCACTGCTATGCTATTAATTAAACGAACGAAGAAATAAATACATTAGGTTTGAGTGTG